GGTAGTTATCACCTTGTTGCTGTATGGTAGTTATGTCACTTGCTTTGCAGCACTGGTAGTTATCACCTTGCTTGCAAGTACTGGTAGTTTTCACCTTGCTTGCAGTACTGGTAGTTATCCTTGCTTGCAGTATGGTAGTTATCACCTTGCTTGCAGTACTGGTAGTTATCACTTGCTTGCAGCACTGGTAGTTATCACCTTGCCTTGGCAGTACTGGTAGTGTTATCACTTGCTTGCAGTTCTGCTAATTATCACTTGCTTGCCAGTATGGTAGTTATCACCTTGCTTGCAGTTTTGGTAGTTATCACCTGCTGATTGCAGTATTGTAGTTATCACATTGCTCGCAAGTACTGGTAGTTATCACCTTGCTTGCAGTACTGGTAGTTAACTCCTGCTTGCTGTACTGGTACGTTTTCACCTTGCTCGCGTTACTGGTAGTTTCACCTTGCTTGCTGTACTGGTAGTTATCACCTTGCTTGGCTGTACTGGTAATTTCACCTTGCTTGCAGTACTGGTAGTTTTACAATTGCTCGTTTAGTACGGGTAGTTATCACTTGCGTGCAGTACTGGTAGTTATCAACCTTGCTTTGCTGTAATGGTAGTTATCAACCTTGCTTGCGTACGGTTAGTTATCTCCTTGCTTGCAGTACTGGTATGTTATCACCCTTGCTTGCAGTACTGGTAGTTTTCAACCTTTGCTTGCAGTACTGGTAGTTATCACCTTGCTTGCAGTATGGTAGTTATCCCTTGCTTGCAGTACTGTAGTTATCACCTTGCTTGCAATACTGAGTAGTTGTCAACTTTGCTCGCAGTACTGGTAGTTATCACCTTGCTTGCAGTACTGGTAGTTATCACCTTGCTTGCAGTACGGGTAGTTTTCCATTGCTCGCTAGTTACTGGTAGTTTATCACCTTGCTTGCAGTACTGGTAGGTATCACCTTGCTTGCTGTACTGGTAGTCACCTTGCTTGCATTACTGGAAGTTATCACCTTGTGCTTGCAGTATGGCAGTTATCCCTTGCTTGCAGTACTGGTTAGTGATCACCTTGCTTGCAGTACTGGTAGTTATCACCTTGCTTGCAGTACTGGTAGTCTCAACCTTGCTTGCAGTACTGGTAGTTATACCTTGCTTGCAGTACTGTAGTTATCACCTTGCTTGCAATTACTGGTAGTTTTCACATTGCTCGCAGTACTGGTAGTATACCTTGCTTGCAGTACTGGTAGTTTGTCTCATTGCTCGCAGTACTGGTAGTTGTCACCTTGCTTTGCAGTACTGGTAGTTATCACCTTGCTTGAAATACTGGTAGTTTTCACATTGCTCGCAGTATGTTATGATCACCTGCTTGCAGTACTGGGTAGTTTTCACTTTGCTCGCAGTACTGGTAGTTATCAACCTTGATTGCAGTACGGGTAGTTATCCACATTGCTTGCAGTACTGGTAGTTTTCACATTGCTCGCAGTACTGGTAGTTATCACCTTGCTTGCAGTACTGGTAGTTATCACCTTGCTTGCAGTACTGGTAGTCACCTTGCTTGCAGTACTGGTAGTTATCACCTTGCTTGTAGTACTGGTAGTTATCACCTTGGTTCCAATACTGGCAGTTATCACCTTGCTTGCAATACTGACTGTTATCACCTTGCTTGCTTACTGGCAGTTATCATAGTCTCTAAACGTGTGTGTCTGCGTGGGTTATCTTTCTTTCATAAACAATATCACTATATCTTGTGTTCAGTCTACAGAGCTACAAGGAAGATCTTGTGTTCAGTCTCACAGCAGCTCCAAGGTAAGTCTTGTGTTCAGTCTCACAGCAGCTACAAGGAAAAGATCTTGTGCTTCAGTCTCACAGCAAGCTAAAGGAAGATCTGTGTTCAGTCTCACAGCAGCTACAGGAAGACGAAAGATCTTGTGTTCAGTCTCACAGCAGCTACAAGGAAGATCTTGTGTTCAGTCTCACAGCAGCTACAAGGAAGATCTTGTGTTCAGTTCACAGCAGCTAAAGGAGATCTTTTTCATAAGTATGTCAATTATATCATCTTTTTCCCAGTCATTGTCAACCATTTTTTGTAGGAAGAGTTTATCATGTATCATCATTTATCAGTTACCTTATTTTCGTGTAATGGACGGAGTGTTTCCTCAGTGGAATTTATTTCTCAGTTTCTCCACTGAATGTTATGTTTATTTAAGTGAAGGTCACACTGAATGAGATATACCTCTACTTTTGATGTCTTGAATGAGTTGAGAGAGTTTTTCTGCTGCCAGAGCCCGGTCATGGGCCAGGCTTGTCTAGTGCTTGCTTGGTCAACCAGGCTGTTAATGCTGGTGGCCCGATGACCCACATATCTACCACTGGATGGTTGATCTGGACCTGGCTAAGATACTTGTTAGTTTCCTCTTGAAAACTTCCATACTTGTTCCAGCAGCGTTGCTGACATCTTCTGGTAAGATGTTGAGTAATGTGGACTCTTAGTTGAGTGTACTGGCCTGGCCAGTACATGATCATCTTGCCGCCTCCATGTTCCCGTCTTAGTCGCATGCTCTTTGGTGTTAAATTGTCAATAGCGTCTGTATTATAGGTACTTACAATGGCCTGGGAGTTTTAAAGACTCAAAGGCCATGGGTTCAACTCCCACCCGTTCCTTGATTTGATTTCACGATCCTGTGTTTTGTCTTCAAGTTCCTGTTTCAGTCACATGCTGTTTAGTGGTAGTATGAACATTAGTAGTTGCTGCCACATAATCAGTGGGGTTCATTTACTCGTCCAGTTCCTCAGACCACCACTACTTCCTGACCATAAGTCCCACTTGCCAACCACTTATTTTCTCCATAGTATTTAATATCCTGCTGGAAATACTGCGGAAATTCTTGTTTACATTCTCGTCAATTCCGTGACTGCCATAATGTTGACTATATCCTCTGCTTGAAAAACAAAAGGACACAGTACCGTGACTGGAACAATACACAAATAACTCGCACATAGGAGAGAGGAGCTTACCACGACGTTTCGGTCCGACTTGGACCATTTACAAAGTCACACTACAGGAAGGGTTGTTGAAGGAGAGGGGTAGGTTTTTTTTTCATGGCTCAAGGGGACTGCAAGGATGGGGAGGTGTGTAGACATAAGCTTAAGAGACAGGAGCAGGGGGTGGTGCAGAGATAGTGGCAGGGGGTGGTGCAGAGATAGTGGCAGGGGGTGGTGCAGAGATAGTGGCAGGGGGTGGTGCAGAGATAGTGGCAGGGGTGGTGCAGAGATAGTGGCAGGGGGTGGTGCAGAGATAGTGGCAGGGGGTGGTGCATGAGATAGTGGCAGGGGGTGGTGCAGAGATAGTGGCAGGGGGTGGTGCAGTGATAGTGGCAGGGGGTGGGTGCAGAGATAGTGACAGGGGGTGGTGCAGAGATAGTGGCAGGGGGTGGTGCAGAGATAGTGGCAGGGGGTGGTGCAGAGATAGTGGCAGGGGGTGGTGCAGAGATAGTTGCAGGGGGTGGTGGCAGAGATAGTTGCAGGGGGTGGTGCAGAGATAGTTTGCAGGGGGTGGTGCAGAGATAGTGGCAGGGGGTGGTGCAGAGATAGTGGCAGGGGGTGGTGCAGAGATAGTGGCAGGGGGTGGTGCAGAGATAGTGGCAGGGGGTGGTGCAGAGATAGTGGCAGGGGGTGGTGCAGAGATAGTTGCAGGGGGTGGTGCAGAGATAGTGGCAGGGGGTGGTGCAGAGATAGTGGCAGGGGTGGTGCAGAGATAGTGGCAGGGGGTGGTGCAGAGATAGTTGCAGGGGGTGGTGCAGAGATAGTTGCAGGGGGTGGTGCAGAGATAGTGGCAGGGGGTGGTGCAGAGATAGTGGCAGGGGGTGGTGCAGAGATAGTGGCAGGGGGTGGTGCAGAGATAGTGGCAGGGGGTGGTGCAGAGATAGTGGCAGGGGGTGGTGCAGAGATAGTTGCAGGGGGTGGTGCAGAGATAGTGGCAAGGGGTGGTGCAGAGATAGTGGCAGGGGGTGGTGCAGAGATAGTGGCAGGGGGTGGTGCAGAGATAGTGGCAGGGGTGGTGCAGAGATAGTGGCAGGGGGTGGTGTCAGAGATAGTGGCAGGGGGTGGTGCAGAGATAGTGGCAGGGGGTGGTGCAGAGATAGTGGCAGGGGGTGGTGCAGAGATAGTTGCAGGGGGTGGTGCAGAGATAGTTGCAGGGGGTGTGCAGAGATAGTTGCAGGGGGTGGTGCAGAGATAGTGGCAGAGGGTGGTGCAGAGATAGTGGCAGGGGTGGTGCAGAGATAGTTGCAGGGGGTGTGCAGAGATAGTGGCAGGGGGTGGTGCAGAGATAGTTGCAGGGGGTGGTGCAGAGATAGTGGCAGGGAGTGGTGCAGAGATAGTTGCAGGGGGTGGTGCAGAGATAGTGGCAGGGGGTGGTGCAGAGATAGTGGCAGGGGGTGGTGTACAGGTGGGGAGGGGAGGGGCTGTGGAAAGAGCAGAGATTGATGATTAGTGGAAGGGATTCATTCTTGTTGGGAAGACTGATGGAGAGCTAAAGTTAGTACTCAGTTTAGGTGACGGGTGCCATACAGGGTGTTAGACACCAGCTGGTGTATGATGGGTGCCACGAGGAGGGAGAGGTGCCATACAGGGTGCCAGACACACCAACTGGTGTGTGATGGGTGCCACAAGGAGGGAGGGGTGCCATACAGGGTGCCAGACACACCAGCTGGTGTATGATGGGTGCCACAAGGAGGGAGAGGTGTCATACAGGGTGCCAGACACACCAGCTGGTGTGTGATGGGTGCCACAAGGAGGGAGGGGTGCCATACAGGGTGCCAGACACACCAGCTGGTGTATGATGGGTGCCACAAGGAGGGAGAGGTGCCATACATGGTGCCAGACACACCAGCTGGTGTGAGATGGGTGCCACAAGGAGGGAGAGGTGTCATACAGGGTGCCAGACACACCAGCTGGTGTGTGATGGGTGCCACAAGGAGGGAGGGGTGCCATACAGGGTTCCATACAGGGTGCCAGACACTCACGGTTGCTGCCCATGTCATGGACGGTGAAGAAGACAGCTCTGGAGTCAGCTTTGCTCAGGTCACCCTGTCAGAGATAAAAGTAACTTAATTTATTATACCAACTTAAATATACATTCATACAAAATACACAAGTATAGATACTTCCATATACACACATACAAACAACTGCTTACAAATACACTAGTCAGTGCCACAACAGTTTCAACACAGGCAACAGAACAACAGAGGTACAACGGGAACAACAGAACAACAGATCTCCAACTGAGACAAGAGACAGAACATTAGAGCCCCAACAGAGTCAACAGAACAACAAAGCTTGAGACAACAGAACAACAGAGCCCCAACAGGAACACCAGAACAAGAGAGCTCCAACAGAGAGAACAGAGCTCCAACGGAGACAGAAGAACAATAGAGACAACAGAACAACAGAGCTCCACCACATACAACAGAATAACAGAGCTCCACCACATACAACAGAATAACAGAGCTCCACCACATACAACAGAATAACAGAGCTCCAACAGAGACAATAGAACAGCAGAGCTCCAACAGAGATAACAGAACAGCAGAGCGCCAACAGAGACAACAGAACAGCAGAGCGCCAACAGAGACAACAGAACAACAGAGCTCCAACAGAGACAACAGAACAGCACAGCTCCAACAGAGACAACAAAACAGCAGAGCTCCAACAGAGACAACAAAACAGCAGAGCTCCAACAGAGACAACAGAACAGCAGAGCTCCAACAGAAACAACAGAACAACAGAGCTCCAACAGAAACAACAGAACAACAAAGCTCCAACAGAGACAACAGAACAACAGAGCTTCAGTGACAAAAACTGAAGTGAATATACTGGCAATTAATTCTCAATAACTACATTATAATCACAAACGAAGTATAGGCCTGACTCAAGGCCTACGGGAGAAGAAAATCTTTCGGAACTCGTCAGTGTAAGCCTAGAGTGAAGATAATTGTAATCTAATCTATTGTGCCACCCAAAAAGAAGTGAAAAAATAGATTGATTATCAGTGGTACTGCGAGTATCATACTGTGGCACTGGCACTCTAGACCACCACAACTGTGGCACTCGTGCACTCTAGACCACCACAACTGTGGCACTCGCACTCTAGACCACCACAACTGTGGCACTCATGCACTCTAGACCACCATAACTGTGGCACTCATGCACTCTAGACCACCACAACTGTGGCACTCGTGCACTCTAGACCACCACAACTGTGGCACTCATGCACTCTAGACCACCATAACTGTGGCACTCGTGCACTCTAGACCACCACAACTGTGGCACTCACGCACTCTAGACCACCACAACTGTGGCACTCATGCACTCTAGACCACCACAACTGTGGCACTCATGCACTCTAGACCACCATAACTGTGGCATCGTGCACTCTAGACACAAAACTGTGGCACTCATGCACTCTAGACCACCACAACTGTGGCACTCGTGCACTCTAGACCACCGTAACTGTGGCACTCATGCACTATAGACCACCACAACTGTGGCACTCGCACTCTAGACCACCACAACTGTGGCACTCACGCACTCTAGACCACCACAACTGTGGCACTCATGCACTCTAGACCACAACTGTGGCACTCGTGCACTCTAGACCACCGTAACTGTGGCACTCATGCACTCTAGACCACCATAACTGTGGCACTCATGCACTCTAGACCACCATAACTGTGGCACTCACGCACTCTAGACCACCACAACTGTGGCACTCACGCACTCTAGACCACCATAACTGTGGCACTCGTGCACTCTAGACCACCACAACTGTGGCACTCACGCACTCTTGACCACCATCAATGTGGCGACTCATGCACTCTAGACCCACATAAACTGTGGCACTCATGCACTCAGACCACCATAACTGTGGCACTCATGCACTCTAGACCACCATAACTGTGGCACTCATGCACTCTAAACCACCGTAACTGTGGCACTCATGCACTCTAGACCGCCCACAACTGTGGCACTCATGCACTCTAAACCATCACAATTGTGGCATCTCATGCACTCTAGACCACCATAACTGTGGCACTCATGCACTCTAAACCAGCGCAACTGTGGCACTCATGCACTCTAGACCACCATAACTGTGGCACTCACGCACTCTAGACCAGCGCAACTGTGGCACTCACGCACTCTAGACCAGCGAAACTGTGGCACTCATGCACTCTAGACCACCACAACTGTGGCATTCATGCACTCTAGACCACAACTGTGGCACTCATGCACTCTAGACCACCACAACTGTGGCACTCATGCACTCTAGACCACCACAACTGTGGCACTCATGCACTCTAGACCACCATAACTGTGGCACTCATGCACTCTAGACCACCATAACTGTGGCACTCATGCACTCTAGACCACCATAACTGTGGCACTCATGCACTCTAGACCAGCGCAACTGTGGCACTCATGCACTCTAGATCACCACAACTGTGGCACTCATGCACTCTAGATCACCACAACTGTGGCACTCATGCACTCTAAACCACCACAACTGTGGCACTCATGCACTCTAAACCACCACAACTGTGGCACTCATGCACTCTAGACCATCACAACTGTGGCACTCATGCACTCTAGACCACCACAACTGTGGCACTCATGCACTCTAGACCACCACAACTGTGGCACTCATGCACTCTAGACCACAACTGTGGCACTCATGCACTCTAGACCACCACAACTGTGGCACTCATGCACTCTAGACCACCACAACTGTGGCACTCATGCACTCTAGACCACCACAACTGTGGCACTCACGCACTCTAGACCACCACAACTGTGGCACTCACGCACTCTAGACCACCACAACTGTGGCACTCATGCACTCTAGACCACCACAACTGTGGCATTCATGCACTCTAGATCACCACAACTGTGGCACTCACGCACTCTAGACCACCACAACTGTGGCACTCACGCACTCTAGACCACAACTGTGGCTCATGCGCTCTAGACCAGCACAACTGTAGCACTCATGCACTCTAGACCACCATAACTGTGGCACTCATGCACTCTAGACCACCACAACTGTGGCACTCACGCACTCTAGACCACCACAACTGTGGCACTCATGCACTCTAGACCACCACAACTGTGGCACTCACGCACTCTAGACCACAACTGTGGCACTCATGCACTCTAGACCACCACAACTGTAGCACTCATGCACTCTAGACCACCACAACTGTGGCACTCATGCACTCTAGACCACCACAACTGTGGCACTCACGCACACTAGACCACCACAACTGTGGCACTCATGCACTCTAGACCACCACAACTGTGGCATTCATGCACTCTAGATCACCACAACTGTGGCACTCACGCACTCTAGACCACCACAACTGTGGCACTCACGCACTCTAGACCACAACTGTGGCTCATGCGCTCTAGACCAGCACAACTGTAGCACTCATGCACTCTAGACACACATACTGTGGCACTCAGCACTCTAGACCACCAAACTGTGGCACTCACGCAATCTAGACCACCACAACTGTGGCACTCATGCACTCTAGACCACCACAACTGTGGCACTCACGCACCTAGACCACCAACTGTGGCACATCATACACTCTAGACCCACCACAACTGTGGCACTCACGCACTCTAGACCACCACAACTGTCGCACTCGTGCACTCTAGACCACCACAACTGTGGCAGTCACGCACTCTAGACCACCACAACTGTGGCACTCGCACTCTAGACCACCACAACTGTGGCACTCATGCACTCTAGACCACCATAACTGTGGCACTCATGCACTCTAGACCACCATAACTGTGGCACTCATGCACTCTAGACCACAACTGTGGCACTCACGCACTCTAGACCACCACAACTGTGGCACTCATGCACTCTAGACCACCACAATTGTGGCACTCACGCACTCTAGACCACCACAATTGTGGCACTCATGCACTCTAGACCGCAACTGTGGCACTCACGCACTCTAGACCACCACAACTGTGGCACTCATGCACTCTAGACCACCACAACTGTGGCACTCATGCACTCTGGACCACTACAACTGTGGCACTCATGCACTCTAGACCACCACAACTGTGGCACTCATGCACTCTAGACCACCACAACTGTGGCACTCATGCACTCTGGACCACCACAACTGTGGCACTCATGCACTCTGGACCACTACAACTGTGGCACTCACGCACTCTAGATCACAGCTGTTACTAACAAAATTGGCTCTTACGAGACAATGTTACCAGTGTTGATGGTTTAAGAACAGTTGTGTGATGACAAACACAGTGTGAACTCGTGATGAGTGATGAACACAGTGATGACGTGAGAAGAACACAGTGATGAGTGATGAACACAGTGATGAGTGATGAACACAGTGATGAGTGATGAACACAGTGATGAGTGATGAACACAGTGATGAGTGATGAACACAGTGATGAGTGATGAACACAGTGATGAGTGATGAACACAGTGATGAGTGAGTGATGAACACAGTGATGAGTGAGTGATGAACACAGTGATGAGTGATGAACACAGTGATGAGTGATGAACACAGTGATGAGTGATGAACACAGTGATGAGTAATGAACACAGTGATGAGTGAGTGATGAACACAGTGATGAGTGATGAACACAGTGATGAGTGAGTGATGAACACAGTGATGAGTGATGAACACAGTGATGAGTGATGAACACAGTGATGAGTAATGAACACAGTGATGAGTGATGAACACAGTGGTGAGTGAGTGATGAACACAGTGATGAGTGATGAACACAGTGATGAGTGAGTGATGAACACAGTGATGAGTGAGTGATGAACACAGTGATGAGTGATGAAGACAGTGATGAGTGAGTGATGAACACAGTGATGAGTGATGAAGACAGTGATGAGTGATGAACACAGTGGTGAGTAATGAACACAGTGATGAGTGACTGATGAACACAGTGGTGAGTGAGTGATGAACACAGTGATGAGTGAGTGATGAACACAGTGATGAGTGAGTGATGAACAGTGACGAGTGAGTGATGAACAG